TCGGTAGATTCAAATGCATTAGTTTGAAATTTATTTGAAAAGTTGGAAGGTTAAGACTTAATAGAAATGTTAGCGATGTGTGAATTAAATGGAAGATATGTACGTTTGATATAAATATTTATTAGGCTGCATGAAAGAATAAATAAATGAATGAATAAAAGAGGTTAATTAATTAATTTATTGAACGATTGATCAATTACGCGTTTTTTTAATATAGCATATTTGTATGCTTTGTTTCAATTGAGAACCAACCAAACAAGTTCAAGCTGGTTACAAATGATAAAACTAATTGCTAAAAATATATATAATTAATTATTATATATTCAACACAATTGTTCAATTAAGCCGCTCATAAACTTGCGCATGACAAAAATATTTTAAAGGTGGATGACTGAATTTTTGCAAAGTCAACAATTTAAATCATCTCTTTTGAAGCATTTTGAACAAAAAAATTAATTTATGTTCAAGGAGGAAAAAAGAAATCATTTTTGTATAATCAAAACCATCAAAATAAAAATAATTTGAAATCATCAATCATATACTGCACAAATGGTTAACATTTTATTTAACCTCCTTTTGAAATACCGATTAAATGACACACTTTTAAACAATAAACAACGTAATTTTCAATTGTGAAACTGAAAAATAACCAACAATACGATGCAAAATCATAACTACCAATATTTTACAACTAAATCTAAACAGTTTTCTTTCCTGACGATTCACAGTTCTTTTTTATTTTTCAACTAAATATTTTGCTAAAAAATATAAACTACAAACATCATAGTTGTTTTTATATAGTGTCATTAAAAGAAAAGTTTCTAAAAAGTTCAAGAGTGTGCATGAACAAAAAATTACATTTGTTTGTCAACGTGATACTGTAACAAACAAATCATCAGAATCCCGTGATCAAGCTAAGCGCCACGGTCTACGGTCGTCTTTTCTCACTTTTTCTTAGCTCCCATCAAATAATCTAATGTTAAATCTGCGTTATCTTTTTCTGGTCCTTTTCTCTGGAGGCTTTCTAATTATTACTTTTCGAACACTTACGATGTTCAGAGCGGATCTCAAGACCCACCTGTTTGCAAAATACCAAATTCTTTGAAGAGCGCGGTTAGATATGGCGGAAACGGCGTTTTGCAAATAAATGAATTATAAAAACAAAACTTGTGTGTGTGTGTGTATTTTTAATTATATATATTCTCAAACAAGTTTGTATTTTTTTTACTTGATAGTCAAGTTTCAGACAAGGTTTAATAAAGATATGCAAAAAATGTTTTAAATGTATCATGTGCAAACAAGCGAGCAAACATTTGAACAAACAAACACACAGACATCCAGCAAACATCCATCTGATAAACTAAACAAACTTACAGAAATATGAACCACATACGCGCAAGCAGCCAGCAACATATCATGTCATGTTTCATTGCACGTACATACAGACGTGCAATGAAACATGCAAGCAGGCATGTCGATGGATGCCAGCAGACTTTAAACAAACTTCCCAATGACCATTTCATCTCATCTCAACAACTTCTCATGTTTCTGCAAATCCTGCGTTAAGTAACGTTTTTTTTAATAATATTAAAATAGGTTGATAATTTCCAACTTGAATGATAACTTAAAAATGATTTTGGTTGTAACGTACGAGAGAAATATTTTAAAAAAAATAATGACAACATTTTGAAACCATTGATACATTTCAAACTCTCTTTCTCGTGCCTTATCCTCTCAGGACGTTGGCGACCATCGACCTCCACAAAACCCAATCCTTAACACTTTGTAGCAGTTGAACTGTGGTGATATCCAACAAGTGACACAAGGACTTCACGACTGCGATCTTTTCTCCCTGCAATCTTTCCAGAACTTGTTAGATTTTCCATTCCTACCTTTCGCATGGTGTGACCACAAAATTTAACTGCCCCCGTCGAATTATTTGTAATAATTTCTTCTTTTCATAACCCATAACCGGACTGTTTTTATACATTCTCATTGGTACTATGAGAAGTCCAACTAATTTTCATAATTCTCAACACCATCATCTCAGCAGAGTTGATCTTTTTTCCATTTCTTTAGGAATTGTCCTGAACTCATGATCAACAAATACAAACCATCGACAAACACGTTCCAAACTATGTTTATTAATTATTTGAATAAGTATTTTAATGATGTGTTTGTTTATTTGCATCGATGTATGTATTTTAAGGTTTTAATCATTTAACTTTTTCAAATTTTTATTTTTCTGTTGTTGCACTAGCTGAGGTTCATAACTTCGTGTTATTTTCTTTTGATCATGTAAAATCCTCAAAACCTTAAATCAGTTTGTATAGGAAACTTAACATCTTATATTTAATTTTTTATTTTATTGATTATCTCTCATTATGTTTTCTATTTTATATAAATATGTCTTCCATGAGTAAAAAATCAAAATCAGCTGTAGATTTGGTTAAAAAATATTGACAGAAAATTCAAGAGCAATTTCAGCACGGCGTCCCGCGTACCGAAAGTTGAATATAACATCGACGAGGTATTAGATGAACACAAAACATGGACGATTATCAAAATAACTATTTCGGACGCCAACACATTTTACAGATGCTGTAAAAACTGTGTGGTTGCTAGTCTTCAGAGATAGTTCAAACAAAAATGGTTTCGCTGAAACTCACTCTATGGTTACCAACACTACACTTAAAATATAAGTTTTCGATAATTGTCAGATTATTTTTTTCAAGCTAATTCTTTATCTCCTTACGTCAATTATCAGTTCATTCAAAAAGTTTTGGCGCGATTTGAAAATTTTATAAATTTTTTAAACTTTGAAGTAAATATATGCTAAGATAATTTTGAGTTTTTTTTATAACTCTGTTAAGCCTACAGTTTCTACCAAAGAATTGAGAGATGGTCTTATTTGTAATGATTCAAACTATTTTTTCGTTACATTCCTAAATGAATTCACGAGAAATTTTCGGAATAATTCAATTTTTCTTGTTCTAAAATGACTTTCTTGTGACTTCATCGCAACTGCATGGTCAGTTGTATGGTTTTTAAATTAGCACGGTATAGAAAACTCATACATTTACGCTGTCTCACAACTGAACTATCCCAAAGCATTAAGGTGTTTCTCTAGTGACTGAAAACGAGAACAACCAGTCTTGTATGGTCCTCTTAAAAAACTGGTCACCTAAAAGCAGTCAACCTAATGGAAGTGATCAACAGCATTTGCAAACTGACAAATAATAACAGTTGTTTAGACATATTGAGCTATTTTAATAAAGTACTGACACTTAGAAAGTAAATGATTCATACGATGATTTTGCATGATATGTGCGGGAATTTGTTAGCTGTATAAAATAAAAGTCGTTTTGAAAAATTACAGACAAAAGTTCATCATTGAACACCGCAAATTTTAAAATTTAAAAAACCATAACCTCAACGCATACAAATGAGGTATTAATACAATACGAGCAAAGATAATATGTGCGTATATAAATGGAATACGTATGTCCGTATATGGATGGAATACGTATGTGCTTGTGCATATATGAATGGAATACGTTCGGTAAGCAATAATACCTGAAAATAGAAGGTTCGGTAAGCAATAATACGTGAAAATAGAAGGTACCTAAAAGGTTCCGCCCTTTTTTTTATAACATTAGCAAATGTATGTGTTCAATGAATATCCTTGTATGATGAATGAGAGCTAAGAGTACAACGATAACCTTGATTGAACCAGAGATGCAACAATCATTTATAAACGAACGTCGAATAACAAATTTCTAAACATACATTTATTTATGAACAAATACACGTAAATAAACAATTGTGAGGAATTTAACAGACAGTCATAAACATCTACCTTACTAATAAGCCAACATGCAGTTGTAACAATGATTGATACATCCAAGTGTCCAAGTGGGAGATTTTGTCGCAGTCAGAATTTTTGAGGAACCATAGTCGGAGTCGGATATCTTTTACAAGCAAGTCAGAGAGTCGAAGTCGAAATCCTGGATAAATAAACAAGCATTTACAAACAAGCATAACATTTATAGATAACCGTAAAACTTTCAAACTTCGGGTAAATTTCATTTACAAAAAAACTTCAATTAATAATCAAGGAGCATTTACGTAAAAATTGTCATTCTACATATCAAAAAATTCAGTTTTAAAACAAATAATTACCCACAAACAAACAAAAATGTACGTTATTTACGATAGAGGCCTGGAACAAAATGGAACAGACAAAAATTTGTAAGTAAGCAGAGAGAATTTGTATTCACGTTCCTATTGGATCGATTCGATAGAAAAAGACGAGAACTCTTAAAAGAATTGAATTTGTGGATGTTGAGTTGAGTTGGAGGAGCATTATTTTTGGGCCGTGAAAGCTTTTCATGCTTTTAATTGTTCTTCTGTTTGTCGACTCCATTGTTCTGTTGTGTTGTTGCTGTCAATATTTCTGTTGGCGTTTATGTTCCTGTTGTTATTGTTAAACATTTTTTGTCATTTGTTTTATATAGTTTAATACTTTAAACATCACTTCAATTGCTGTTTGTTTTTTGGATGTTTTTTTGATTATGTTGCAAAGTTTTTATAATGTGTAAAATGCAAACACGATTTAGCTCTGTTGATTGTGTTTTGTAAGTTTGTTTCATTCTTCATGCTGAATGTTGTTGTGGAAAACATGATGTCATGTTGTGACGGACGAATTGCAATCATACGAATCATTCAAACCACCACAGCATCAACAACAACACAAGAACGACCTACAAAACAATGTCGCCGATTTCACGACCGTTTTTAAATATTGTGCAGGACATGCTCGCTTTTAATACAGATTCAAATAACTGGAAACAAATTAATAAACTTTTTGTTGATAATAAAAATAATAAAACTAGAAGTTTCATGAAACAAAACATAATTTAAGGGAATCAAAAGGGATTTATTTTATACAGTTTCGGGAGACCAAATAAAGTCACGTATAAGTGACGCCTGGTCTAAGCATGAAGCAGACAAGCGTATGTCACCAACTGGAATCTAGGAATGCGACGGATTTTAGGAATCCAATTGGATTCGAATTTGAACCGGAATCCTGGAATCCAGAAAAATTCGGATTCGTTGAATCCAATGCTAGAGATTTGATAAAAACGGATCTATGGTTACCAGATAAAGTAAAAACTACAACTAAAAACTGAAATGGTAAATCTTATAAACTTTTAAAATCACGTTTTAACTTTTTACCACGTGTTTGTAACCGAACCACGACTAAATCACGTGATAAAAAGCGTGAGTTAACTCGACCTACATAGAATATATTATATATATAGTTAACTCATGAAGTGCCAAATTTTTTCTGATGTTGATTCGCTCATTCTAATTAACAACTAAAAATTACAAATTTTAGCTGTAATGCTAACAACAAATCGTTAAGCAAACAAAGAAAAAACTGACCAAATTGGAAGAAACTTTTTGTTTTCTTGAAAGCACAGCCGTTAGCCGTCAATTACAATAGGCACGCATTAGAATAGTGGCAGATCAGTTTTGTTTATACATAATAAGAGATTTTTAAATTTGATGCCTCTCTCGTAAAATACATATTTTTTTTTATATAGTTTTAGTTAAGCTGAATAAAATAATTTAGTTTTCATCAATATGACTGAGCCTCTAATTTGAATAAACTTTGGTTAAAATAAGTTTAATTATGAGACTGCATCTGCCTTGGGTACGGATTCGGATCCGTCCAAATCTATCACTTAGATCCGGATTCGGATATTACGAATCACCATTTCTTGGATCCTTCTCACTCCATTCCTGCTGGAAACTATCCATTGAAACAAACGAAGTTTAACACTATCCATCATTCATTTCTTGCTGTAATTGAGTGGATTAGATTTAATTAGAATTTACTTTTTTTCCACAAACTTTGTATGATCAGAAATGTTGAAGAAATTCGACCTTTTTTATGATAATTTTCTCATTTAAACCCATATTTTTACTGCAGCGGGGGGTTTGGGTTGAAAGAGCTGCCATTCGAAATTGAACTGCAAATTTTGTTAACTTTCTCATAAACCTAAGCTATGAGTGAGGGGCTTCAGTCTCCATGATCCTCTACTGGCCAGGCCTCTGCAGTGCCGCAGTGTGTAAATGTTATTGTTGTCGGATGCCATTGGAAAGCTGGGCTATTATTTATCTTTTTAATGAAATCAAATTAAACTAACAACATCAACACAGCAACAACAAAACAACATCAACACAACAACATCAACACAACAACATCAACATCAACAACCAGTTTCATATTTGCTGGGAAAGAAACAGAATGTGGATGATTCAACACATCGAGCGCACCATCAACAAACAGCACAAAGTGGTCAAAAAGTTCAAACGACAGCAGAAACAGCAACCGGAAGAACATTTTGAAGTCACTCAGACCGAGTCATCCTCCTCATCAACGTCACACCATTTAACGGTGACGTCATCAACATCATTGTCAACAACAACAACAGCAACAACATCATCAGTTCCACATCTGCTCATAACTTCAAATTCATCCTCATCATCATCATCATCATCTTTTCAGGATTTTTCACCCTACTCACCACCACCAACATCATCATCACCCCCGTCATCACCAACATCATCATCACCTTTTTGTCAGCTAGAAACATCATCACCACGTTCGGCTTCGTCTTCCAGAGAACCACAAAATGTTCTAGTTAAGTTGAAGACGCTCTGTCATCAGAGGCAGTCCTCCCAATTAGCCCCAAGTCATCCTCATCATCATCATCATCATCTACAACAACAACAACAGCAACAACAACAACAACAGCAACGTCAACAACTTCTTGATTCGCAATATCAACAACAACAGCAGCAACAACAACAACAACAACTCCTTGATCCGCAACATCAACAACAACAACAACAGCAACAACGTCAACAACAACAACTTTTTGATTCACAACATAAACAACTTCATCAACAACATCATCGCCAACAACAACAACAACAGCAACAACAACATCTTCAACTACAAACAAAATCACAACAACAACAAAATTTTTCTAATCCAGATGACTTGCATTTTGAAAACAAAAACAGCATTCAACATTTCGTCTGCATCAACAACGTCAACAACAACAACAGCAACAACAACAACAACAACAACAATAACAATGATAATGACGTCATCAAAAATAATGGGGGCAGCATTGCAGCAACTGATGGTCGAACCTTTAATCAGAGTTCAGAGGCGACCACACCCAGAGATAATAACAAGACAGATAGCCAAAACAACAACAAAAACAACAACATGAACAATAAAAACAACAACAATAACAACAACAACAACATCAGTAACAACAACAACAACAATAATAATAATAACAATAACGATAACAACAACAACAACATCAACAACAACAGTAACAACAACAATAACGATAACAACAACAACAACAACATCAACAACAATGACAGCATTAGCGAAAGCACGATGAGTGAGAAAAATAAGAAAACAAAGAAATCACTGAGCATCATGAAAGACCACCAGCGCCACCAACAACGCCCCCACCACCAACATCATCATCGCGGCTACAGCAGCAGCAGCAGGAATAATGACGACAACGACGACAACGACACCAGCAACAACAACAACAACAGCAGCAGTTACATGATGAATGGCGTTAGATCGATGCTACCTGGCTGGCTGTTTGTAGGGGTAGAGGGGGGGTTGAAGAGGTGCCGGCGGGTGGACTGCACCCACTGTAAGGGAGTCATCTCCCAACTCTTCCTCATACTAGTCAATTTTCTTTTCCTGGTTAGATTGTGATGTTTGTGATAGTGGTGGTGATGATGGTGATGGTGATGATGTTGGTGGTGATGATGAAGGTGATGATGTTTGTGATGGTGGTGGTAGTGATGATGATTATGTTTGTGGTAGTTTGTGATGCTGATGAGGATGATGTTGGTGGAAGTTTCAATGATGATGATGATGATGATATTGTTTGATGATGAATGATGATGATGATGATGTCGCATGGTTGTGATAATTGTAGTAATAATTATTATGTTGGTTGCAATAGTAATAACGATGCTGCTGATGATGATGACAATGAGGATGATGATGATGGCAAGTTAACAAATGTGATGATGATGACGTTTGTAGTGATAATTTTCATGGCAATAACAACGATGATATGGAAGAAGAAGAAGAAGATGATGATGATGATGAGGATGAGGATGATGCTGATAATGGTGATGATGAAGAGGAGAAGGAGGAGGAGGAGGAGGAGGATGCTGATAATGATGATGATGATGAAGAGGAGGAGGAGAATGATGGTGATGATGATGATGATGATGATAGTGATGATGATGATGATGATGATGATGTCATGGTCATCATTATTTTTATTAATAATTAGTCCAGGAGGATATTAGCCCTATCCTGTTGTCCATGATTAACGAATTAAAATCCGACAATTATTATGCCGTTGCTAATGATGGTGATGATGATGAAGAGGATGAAGATGGTGGTGGTGTTGATGATGATGGTGATGATGATGGTGATGATGATTTGTTGATGACGAGAAAGATGAAAATGGGGGTGTTGATGATGATGATGTTTTAGACAATGATGATGATGATGATGATGATAATGATGACGGTGATGATTATGATGACAAAAAATTTTATTAACAATGTATATAACAAGAGTGGGAGTTCTTTGTTTAAAGCCCGCGCGCACGTTCGCACAAGTACACGCATACACTCACAAACGTCTTTGCCATTGCCCGTTCCGAAGTTACTTTTAAAAATTCCAACAACAACAACAACAAAAGCAACAACAACAACAGCAACAACAACAACATCAACAACAGCAACAACAACAGCAACAACAACAGCAACAACAACAGCAACAACAACAGCAACAACAACAGCAACAACAACAGCAACAACAACAACAGCAGCAACAGCAACAACTGCAACAACAACAACATGAAACGTTAACGTAAAAAATTGTTTGTATGCATCAAATGGCAATACATAAAATGTTAACTTATGAATGGAATGTTCAGTTTGCTGGCTGCAGCGATGTTGAATGCCGTCTTGCGAGAGTTCTTTCATTGGAGTGGATGACTCGAGCCACGTTGTTGCAATGATAATTGACGTGTGGGTTACGCTGAATGCTAAAATTGCAGATGTGAAAATACTGGAGTGAAAAAACTTCAAATTATTAACTAATCCCTTGTGGGTGGGAAATGGAGAATAAGTTATGAGAAGTTCACGAATCAACTTTGAAGTGAGGAGTATCATGGCGTTTTCTTGAGACGATTTGAGTGATTTGCAAGTTAGAAGCGACCAGATGGATACCATGCTACTGGAAGACCTTCGATTTTAAAATGACCATCTGATATTTACGTAAATGCTGCACAATGAAATTTTTTTCACAAAACTATTCAAAATACAACAGAAGCCAGGCAGTGTTTCTAAAATATGTTTTTGATCGATGCTGATTTTGTGAATTATTTCATCAAAGTTGAACTTTTCCGGAGCCAACTTTTCGATTTTGGTAAAAATTGGATTGGGTTGAAAGTTGTGCTTCGTGTTTTTGAGGAAAGATTGGGTTTGAAGAGAAAAAAGTTGCACCGGTGAATGTGCGAATGTGGAGGAACTTGAAATTATGAACTAGAGACAAAATGGAATCACGTACGAACAACAATCAAGAAAAAAGAGTTTGAAGAATTGTACATCAACGACAACAAACAACTACAACTTAAAACAAACAAAGGATCACCATTATTTTACAAACATCAGCAACACATCACAACATACAAACATCAGCAACACATCCCAATATACAAATATCAACCACACATCAACAACATACAAACATCAACAACACAAAACAACATACAAAGTAAGATATTGCATCGCATTCAACACATAACAAACAAACAAACACACAAACAAACAAACATACATACATACAAACAATATACCGCAATTATTACTAATTACAAATTTATTTTTGCATATGACAACGCACAACGATATAAATAACACATAGTTGTTGTATTTAACAATGTGTAAATAATGAGAGAAAACAAAGAACTTTGAGACAGAGTGAACAAAGACATGAGAGTTGGGAGGTAACGATGTTAGGATGAAATGAAAGCACGTACTTCTCTATGACATCCGTCATCATTATCATTACAACCATCATCACCTTCATAATCATCATCATTACAACCATTATAACCACCATCATCTTCATCATCACCAACTATCATCTTTATCATCTCCATCATCACCGTCATCATCATCATCATTACAACCATCATCTTCATCATCATTATCTTCATCATCACAGACATCTTTTTATCTCCCAACAACCACCATCACCATAATTTTTACTAGTCACAATGTCATCACAAGAGATGTCATCACCATCTTTAAAAGCATCCACCTTTTTAAAACTTCACTCCCTCAACATCTCCCCCCTCCTCAACATCACCCACTGCCATCATATTTCTGCAACATCGTCATTCGTCCTCGTCATAATTATCACATCAAACAACTTTTTCATATGAATAACGACTTCTAGAACGGCGAAACTAACACAGTCGATATAAACACTGCTAACATTATGAACGCCACAATCCAAATTGATTTACCTTTCTCGTGAATACCTCGTTGTTCAGCATTTTTAAGCAGATGTGGTTGCTACAAAAAGTCGCGGAAGATTTAATGCTTCATTGCAACAAAATGAATGTGCTGATGAGGAATCAGTCACTGCGTTATAATTGACTTAAATCAATGTATATACGAGATTTCTAATTATATAATTACTACCTAATTGATGCTCGGTTGGATTGTTTGCAAGGAGACCTTCACATCGCAGTCCGTCCTTGACGTCGGCATTGCCGCCCGGATTATGATGGTCGTCATCATAAACTTCCACAAAAACCAACTTGAGAATGAACATCAGCGATGCCAACGTACTCAACAAAACTCACATCTGTCAATATGAGGCTGACGTCGCCAGCAATTTGGTTGCCATCAACATCTGAACTGTCTGTGGGAGGGTTTGGGGGGAGAACGGACTAAGGAAAATTGAGAAAAAAAAGATATTGAGAGAGAGAGAGAGAGAAAGAGTGAGAGAGAAAAAGTGGGCGGAGAAATGGATAGAAGAAAAATTTGTTGATAATCATAATGAAGTGTCTCATTCCTCCGAACACAACTCTGTTTCTGTTGCCACGACAGGCGCATAAACAATGCGGAAACGGATCACGTACGTCACATGGAAAGTACATGCACCCCCGCTCTCATTCCATTTTATATACTCAGTTCGATTACGTACAAACATAAGTTTGTACGTATATTTTTCACGTATGACTATACACACACTCATATAAAAATAAATAAAAATAAATAAAAATATATTATATATATATAATATATTTATTTTAAAAGTTGATGTATGTACATGCACGTATTAACAGGATAAAGTTAAGGATGTTTTTAATAATATATTATTCTATACGATAAAGATATCTAAGTTGAGTAGATTTTTTTTACTTCTTTTATTTCCATGTTAAGTTTTTCACGATTTAAACTGAAAATTGAAGTACCCAACCCACCCATCATCATGTAAGTATCACTTATGTGCCGTGGTGGATATAGGGGGGGAGCTGGGATGGCCCCACCCCGTTCCGAACAATATTTGTATTAGAAGTCAGTAAAACTTAGTATTTGTACAAATAAAGCACCATTTTATATCAAAAAAGATCTCCAGCCTAATTTTGGCCACCTTACCACAAATCTTGACACTTCCGTCAAAATTAAAAAAAAAGAGTCACAAATTAAAATCATATATCTTGGCCCTCTTCCCGTAAAAGTTTTCCAAATCCGCCACTGCTTATGTGCACCCAAAGATGGTCGTTGTGGTTAATTTTTCAAGGCTAGCTGGTTTGATGTTACATTTTTATAAACCTCAGCCAATTGGTCGACGCAATGGAGAATGTTGCGTAAATCAATCGGTATTTTGACCTGCGGATAACATGTCCTATTCATTCAAGTGCCATTATCTCAGCAGGTAATTGTTTTATTTGCTGTTGAGTCTGCATTTTGAAACATTATCGGGTATAAAATTTTCAAAGGCTTCAGTGAGTCAGCAGTGAGGGATTGAGATTTTGCTTGTGTAGATTAATGTAGAAATGTATTCAAATTTGTATACAGAGATTTATATAAGCACGATTAAGTTTGATCTAAAAACACACGGCCCATTATTTCACCAATGGCGATTAATTAATTAGTTAGTTAATTAATTAATTAATGCAGTTTTGATACAATGTTCAATGTCATTATCCGTACTGCAATTGTTGCTACGGTTACAATGCTTAAATTTGTTTGTTGCTACTTAAATTTCCGGTCGGCCAAACTTGAAAAAAAAGTGATGCAACAGTGATTGGGATCCACTATACTTAAAAATGTTTACAAGGCTTCCATCGGAACTAGTCGAGTTTTGTATTGATGGGCTTTCGTCATCTCATGCTAGGACATTATCGCACGGCTGATTTATTTAAAATATGTTTCGGCAATATGTCAAATCAACAGCATTGAAAATATTTGGATTTTTTTATTAAGAAACTTCAGGATTGGATTGGTGATAGTCTAGTTAAGATATTACTATTTTGAAAACTAAGAACAATGCTCATGTTTTCTGTTTCTAAAATTCTGACGCAGCCCACATAAAAAGAAAGAAAGAAAAGAGCACCAAAAATTTATATTTATAGAAAACAAGAGGTGAACGGAGAAAGACTGAGAACCCCACTAACTTTCCATCCAGCCGGACAAACCTGGAAATGGCAGCACTGTGTTTAAAGAACTTGAAAAAATAGTTTCTCTTTGGACTGAACATCTCAGCAACCATTTGATTTGTGTCAACCCAGTTGACCCAACCACAAAAATTAATTTTCCACAATTTCATAGCCGTACTTGACGATTTCATTGTAAAATTAATGTTACTAATTTAAAACATATCAAGTTTCTATTAATATTAGTATTTCATATTAGAATTTATATTTAAATAGTAAAACATTCGAAACATTTAAAAAATTGATTAAAAATAAATTACGTTTATTTGTAAATAAACAAGAAATTACAAGAAGACATTAAAATGACTTTCTTTCGGTATGCGACAGTACAGTGAACGTTGCATAAACTGGGTGACATTTTTGAGGCAGTCTATAAATAATTTCATTCTTGACAAAATATTGAAAAAAAACGACTGCCATATAATATTCATCCAGCTTTTATGTCAAACTGCTTTTAAAAGCTCAATAAAATCTATGTCCAGTACAAGGTATTACACGTTGCAGCCTAGTTATATGTCTCACAGATAGTCTGTCTACACTGTATAGTCTCGCGTTTTGTATTGTCCGCTTATGCGCTCTATACAATTATATATGTAACATGAAATACGCTAAGTTTTATATGCAAAAAAATATCACACACAAAAATATATATATATATATTTCTTTATTCTTCATAGTTATTGAAGTTAGTATTAAGGCGTCGAACTGGTAATGATGTTATCATTCTTTGTTGGATGCTTATTTGTGGTTTATTGATATCTATCAGGACAGCTTCTGCAATTTTGAGATGTATCGTGTTGGTGTTTGATAAATTATTTTTGTGTTTTTGTCATGTCATTAATGAGTCTTCAAACAATCGACATAAAATATTTTTCGAAAAATTGAATGACACAAGTTATTATATTAACACCAAATGATATCATTCGATAAAAATATTTGAAATATGAAATAATTTAATGACCAATATTAAAATAAAAAACGAATTAGTGACCGAACCGATGCGTCGACACGTACGAGATATAACAACAAATTTTTAGCTGGTGATTAGTTGGCTAATCTTTAGTTTTCAGAATTTATAACATTCACGTACAATATCGATGTGACGCAAGCTGTCGTGACTGTTGTTGCTGGACTTCCATTTGGTGGGCTATCGTATGAAGAATTTGTGCAAATAAACAAAAAGTGAAGTCTAAAGTGTCGGGCATGCTGGTGGTTGATGTCAGGTTTCTCAGGTAACTCAGGTTTCTGCTTGTGCCCGGTATATGAAGAGCTTCTGTTAATTTCAGATATGACAAATTTGAATCAAAATAGATGATTCTATGTTAGTAAAGATCGTTTAAGATATGTAAGAATGTTGATGGCTATAATGGTCCGAATGTGACTAATCAATCAATCAATTAGTTTAAGCGCTATGTAAAGCGCTATTTCCGCGATGTTCAAAAGCTCTCCTCCCAGTGAATTTTGCTAACAGATGGTTTCGAGATCCGTTCCTAACTTCGTAATTAATAGAGAAGTAGTCAGAGAAGGAGATAAAAAGTTCCAGAGAAAAGGGCCAGAAAAAGCACATGCAGATTTAGCAAAAAGAGTTTTTAACACGAGTTAAAAAGAAGTGAGAACAAGAAGACGATCGTAAACCGACATAAGACGCCACAACACTGCACCACATAAAATTCCATCTTTCTTGATTTCATTGCATATAGAAATGAATAAAATTTAATAATAGAAAATTTGCCGATATTTATAATCAAACGTCTATAACTTGATCTTATTTAAATTTTTTTCATGTTCTTCTGTCAACATTACATTAAATATATTATAAACGAATATGTAATTTTGAAAATTTCTATTTCAACTGAAAAAATTGAAAAGAAAAACGATTTTAATAACAAACAACAATTGAAAAAAAACGCTAGTGAGCGCTGATCAACAGAGCGAACGAACGAACCAACGAACGAACGAACCAGCGAACGAACGAACGAACGCAACTAAAAATAAATATGTACAGCGGAATGATGGATTGACGGAGGATTGGTCATAATTTATTGAGTGAGTGATGCGAACATCATCTGATGATCACTTCCATTCTCTGACCTTCCCCACATGATGTCCGATCGTTCTCATTGTTATGATAATTATTTGAAATTATTTGCTCTGTTATGCATCCCTCACATCCTGCAACTTTTCAAGTGGACTTGGAAGAAAACAAGCACTACATAAGACTTTCCATTTTATTGCAACGTATGAAGGCATATGGGAAACATTTAGCCGTCGTATGCACATAATTATTACAATTAATTAATTAATTAATTATGATTAATTAATTAATTATTATTAATTAATTAATTAATGTGTTTGTTAAGCGAGAAGTTGCAGACGCACGTGCACTGGTTACAAGGCGAAATCCTTCCGCGTATTCAGCGTTTAATAATTGCGAGTGATGTCTGCCCTCCATACACCTGTCCTTCTTTCCTTTTCCACTCAATTATTTTAGCTCTTAATAAAAATATATTTGCTCAAATCAAAAATTATCGACGCTAATTATTCGGATGTTTGACTTTTTTGACTGAGTAGCTACATGGGTGTTGATGGTTGACGATCTCAAACGAAGACGGCTTTTTCACAATGACTATATTATTGTTGGCAATGTTGTTGTTGGTTTTTTTTGTTGTTTGTCATCATTATTTTTTGTGGGGTTCCTTGTTATTTGAAATTTTGGTTTCTTTTGGAATCCTTTTTCATGTGTTTTCATGAAATAAACTTGTTTAAAGAAAAAAAAAATCATTTTAAAAATCCACCAGAAAACTGACTTTTTTATTTTTTTCAAAAAAGAGGTTTATGAGGAAAAGCTAATGAATTAAAATAAATTTATGTAGGAATAATAACAAATAGAGAAAGTAAAACATATAAAAAAAAACAATAAAGATAAATATTTTGTAATAATTAGCTACAAATATTTAAAAATAATTTTTATAAATTTTACATCAAATTTATTTTAAATTTCCTAATTTTGTGTTTTACAAGAAAGGTGTTTGAATATAACTTTTTATCCTAATTTTGTTTAAAAAATTATAAAAATTAGTCTTCAAACTTTTTAATGAAGCATTTAATTTAAGGTTTATTTATTTTATCATCAGCTGATTGTAATTCTTCAAGATACCAACAAGTCACTGTGTTCTGGTGGGAATAGAATCTAAGTGAGACGAAAGAGTGAAACAAGCGAGGGGTGATTGGAATAATGTAGAGAAGCGAGGAAAAGTCGATGACATCTTGTTGCTGTCTCAGGAGAATAAAAAGAAAGAGAGAGAGGGAGTCTAAATAAAAGTTTGGATGTCCGTTCTAATATTAATATTCAAGTCATTGTCTGCATAATTTGTTCCATAGCTCAGGAAGTCCACAGATACAAACAATCAAACCTACACTTATGTAACTGTGCAAGCATACATACATACACACACATATGCTAACAACATACATCATGCATACAGACAAACAAACAGACAGACAGAGACATAACGAGCAAACAGACATTCATTTCGCCTGGTTATTCGCTAATATAAAATGTTCTTTTATTTCCTTCAATTTGATACGCGGCTCTCTTTATCACATACAGAGCGATATATTCACTACACAAGATAATGCTACTATTTATAGCTTAGAAACTACCTTCACACACACACCGCACCACACACTTACACACACACACACACACACATACTCACACACACATACATATATACACACCGATCATTGCGTTTGTGTTTTTTTTGTGTGTGTGTTTGTTTGTGTATATGTGTATTGTGTAAGTAAGCCTTCTTGTATTTTTGAGAGCAATCTGATAATATGATTATGAAATGATGTTGGTTGAGAGCCTTTCTTTCCATCCGTCTTGCTATGCAAAATTCATCAAGATGGACTCGTAATAAAATTGAGATTGTGTGTGTGTGTGTGTATGTGTGTGTCTGTGTTAATACTAAGATTGTATTGTGTATGTGTGTGTGTATATGTGTGTGTGTCAGTGTCAATACTGAGATTGTATTGTGTGTGTGTGTGGTGCGTGTGTATATATCAATACTGAAATTGTATGCGTGTATCATTATTAAAATTGTATTACTTATTCAACCATACAAACATAAAATTCGTTTCGGTGGGACGAAGTAAGTGAGATCCATTGAGATTGTGGGGGCCAGCGTTTAACAGTTTAATAAGAGATCAAGAAGTACCAAAAGATATTACAGAATGTTTCCAGAATTGAAATAAAAAGACAATAAAATAAATTCATGTATATTTATATCACTTATGATATAAATAGTTCTTTTAATTCTCAAATCGTTAGGGTAGTATGTTACAAATTAAATAAAATTTCAAATTCTTTTTAAACAGAACGAAATTACCAATATCTTTTATAGCAGATGGAATAATATATATCAATATTGAGTATCCTGTATTGATTGTATCCTATATGTATCCTGTATGTACGTATGTATTGATTGTATGTATCAATGTTGAGTAGAGCAGTATGTATTAGTAGAGTTTTGCATGTGTTGCATCTGAGCGCCATTACTGAGTTTGTATTTTTTTCAAAATATTAGCATTTGTATACAAAAAAAAACAAATGAATAAATAAATAAAGAGAAAAAAACCAAATAGAACATATATAATTATATTTTTCAAAAAATAATGTTTTCTTTATTTATTTTTTAACTTAAAGATGAATTTTAATGAATTTTGATCTTATGTTTATTACATTGACACAAAGTTACAAAGACGAACGAAAATTATTGAAACTTCATAACTGGACGGGTGATGGCAGTTTACATACGCCACGTAGCAGTTCAATCTGTGAAGTGTTCATAATGTATTTTTTTACATAGTAGTTGTTGCCAGGCGGGACATGTTGTTGGATCGCAACAGACAGAGCAACGAAAAGTGAACACTACCTGCTTCCAGCCTATGTGTAGCATGTAAATATTTTGAATATTTCTAAACGCCAGTGACCAGAGATTTTTTTACAAATGTGACGACCATTTTATTATTTTTTGCTCATTCCAAAATCTTTAATTCAATTGTTATAAATGGTAATAATATTAGTATAAATAATAATAATAACAATAACAAACCACTATCAAAAACAAATTGTTTTCATAAACTGACATCAGCTAAATAAGGCAATCCACCGCACTGCCAATCTTCACATGTTCACGTCATCATTACGTCATCACAACGTCACCATTAACCTAGCATGACCTCATTATTCACGGTGACAACGTGGCTTCTAATAAGCTAATAAGTTAACACGAGCTGATATCAAAGATTGAAGATACATCTAGCGGAAATTTTTCTTTCTCATGAATTTCGTGTGCACGTTTTAAAGAGAGTTTGCATTGCAATCGGCACGTGTTGTGTGCACTGCACTGTGCCATGCATTGTACGTTGTACATTGTGCATTAAATTGACACATTGTGCTGTTCTGATAATGGTTACAAGCTAAACCACGACCGTGTTTAGAGAATTAAAATTTTTTGCTCATGTTGGGCTCTAACGAAGGGGAATGTTCTCTAAGGTGAATGACTGTTAAAACTATCAAAATAACGCTTTAATACAAAAGCACGCTAGTTTATTATTAGCATATTTATTGGTAAGTATAAAAAGTCATTTATCGTTCACCGCAATAAGCCTGCCGCCACGTTATTAAACGCCTCATGTGTCGATGATTGCTGGAGAGCACGGACGAGAAACTTCATCAAATTTCTGTTAAAACTCGATCCCTCCGAAGTGTCCTTTCTAAATGCAAAACAACTGGACGAGCCTACTTCTGCAGCTACAAAGATAGGCAGGCGTAAGGAGTGACACCTGACGAAGCAACGAGAAGCAACAGTTAACACAGCTTGATGGATTGAAGAAAGAAGATGGCGCTTGCTAATGGAAATTGAATGGTTTATAGTACAAGATGGATTTGTTATTTCTGTTCACATTTTCTTCATTTGCCGATTTTACAAGTTCAACATGATGTTACATTGTAACAAATTATTTACAAATTATACCAAATAATTGCTGTTTGATACTGGACTTAATCTAAATGCGTTGAAACTATTTCAAATGTAATGCTGCACCATGAACGACTCCATAGCAACAGATGTTATTACACATTTCGTGTTACGTGCAGATGAGATGAGTGTTGCATGTTACTACTGGGCTGGAATGCTGATTTTTAACAACTCAACATCCATTTAGATTCGATCAGTGAAAAACATCGCGTTGATGTGATTCTGATATTTTTTGCGCTGAAAATCTTTGGGTATTTTGGCGTTAGATTCAGTTTCGAGTTAACAATTTGATGATTAATAATATATAATCATATCTGGATGGTGTGACGTACGATGATAATATATCACCTCGCCATCCTCTCCCATGCTCAGTGCATCAATGTATAAAATCTATTATAATGGCAATCACTAACTTTTTGAAACTATTCATATTCATATATATACATATATATGTATATATATATATATATATATATATATAAACAGTATTGTATGAATTCTACCGAACTGTTGACATTAATCAATTTAAAGTTTGTCTTTTAAATTTTCATTACTAAAATTTTTTGAAAATTTATTAAAAATATAATTATTATCCAAGTTCATCATGAAAATTTAATAAAACTGTTGTTATTCAAATCCATCATGCAGCTACGCCTTTGTAATATCAATAATTCTGTTTTCAATAAATTGAACATTTTCCAGAAAATTCTAGTAAGAAAAATTGAAAAGACGAACTTTAATGCCGACAGTTCGGTAGAATTCATACAATAATGTATTGTATAAAATATGGTCTCCTTCCAACTATTAATAACTATTATATATGCACCAATGTAACTGCAACATATTGAAAGTGGACACGACGCATAAGCACCATTACGTAAGAACATGAAGTACCATCCTAACTGAACACATAAGACCGCATACCAGCGCACGCACACACGCACACAAGCGCACACACGCGCACACACGCACACACACGCACACACACGTCTTCATATAATTGCTTACAAGTTATCTCCTACTGACGTCACTCAACGTTCGTCAGTGAAAGGTCAAAAGGTCATCTCCGTCGCGGATTGTGACGTCATCTTTGTTATCGTTACGTCATCGCATTACGGACGCATCATGCATGGCTTTTTGTTTGGATCTTCCAGAAGCGCACCATCACCATTGATCACTTCATTTCATTTTCAAACGCTGGTATGCGAACGCCACATTGAAAAGTTACGCAATTTATTGAAAGTTTTGAATGGCGGGATTGGCGTGATCAAATATAACATTTAATGCTATTTATTTATTCGCTCTATTAAAATTTTTAAATCTTTCCCGCGGTTTATATTTAATTAAGTTGATGGTTCAACTTTTCAAAAGCTAACTTTTTATTGTGCAATAGATTTTTTTGTTTGGTTTAAAAATTTGTAAACTACATCAGCCAAAAATTTCATAAACATAATAAATGATCGACCAAATAACCCACCAACCAATCACAAACGTCCCCTCAGATATGTGGGAGTCTCTTAATAATAGGTGGCGTGTGGTTCTACTTCAACGAAGATTCACTCACCTACTCGCACCTGGTCGCTGATCCCAGCACTCCTCTGATCTCACCACCGTCGTCATCGTCGTTGCCTCTATCACCACCATCATCAGCAGCAGCATCAGCGAAAGTTTCAGCAGCAGAAGAATCATCATCATCATCCTCAATATACTTCAGTGTGCAGAGGGTCCCTTACATCTTGATATTTGTGGGGGTGGTCATCGCGAGCATCAGCTTCCTTGGCTGCTGTGGCGCCTGCACGGAGAGCGTCTGCTTCCTCGGATTCGTGAGCCTTCCTTTCATTTCTCTATTCAATTTGTTTTTTTTCAATATTTAAATATATGGACACCAGCGAGTTGGTTGTGTGTCGGTTCATCCGCAAGAGATCGATGCATTTTGAGCAACTGAGAGGGAAGAATATTTCTTCGTATCACTTCGTTTTTTAACTTTTTATTTCGAGTTTTATTTTAAGCCCAAGTTATCATTCACACAAAATTTTGTCTCATTCCCTTTTCATACCGTGGCTGCTCATCTTTCAAGTTTTTAGTTATAAAAGTTGGTTATTAGTTGAATGCAATATTAATTAAACTACTGTTGAAAATGAAGAAACAAACGTTTCAATCCGAACCATAATACTTGAGAAACCTGTTTAAGAAACATCGGAAGACTGTTTACAGTCATTTATCACTGTCAATTATCACTAATGTTTACAACACTAAGATGACGTCATAATTGAGGAGGAAGAGAAGGAGGAGGATTGTAATTAATGAATTGGCATCAACATCAGCTGGCTGAGAGTAACTGTTCAGTTGTTCATTCGTTCCTTCAACAGCTTAAACGTGCAATTTCTTTTTATGTCATCACTAGTTTCATTATTTCCTTAAAATTCAAATAGGGAAATGTTTAAAACGATTTCTTGAAAAAAAATATAATAGTAACTGCAAAATAAACATTAGAATCATTTGCCGAATAAGACGGCAGGAGAGTGCACTGGTTGGTTGAGTATGGTAGTCCTGCTCTTCCAGTGACCGGGTTTGAATACAAGAGATGCCAGCCGATCACATGCAGTTGTGTATAGCGTGGATTCTTGAGTAGTTGCATGCGCTGTGTTGTTGTTGCTGCTGCTGTTGTTTATGTTGTTGTTGATGTTAATGTTGATGTTGTTGTTGATGTTGTTGTTGATGGTGTTGTCGTTATTGTTGTTGTTATTGTTGATGTTGTTGTCGCTGTTGTTATTGTTGTTGTTGATGTTGTTGTTGTTGTTATCGTTGTTGTCGTAGTGTTTGTTGTTGATGTCATTGTTATTGTTGGTGTTGTTGATACCTCTGGATAATGCAATAAAAGAAAACCATTACTATTACCATAGAATTTAAACTCAAACGAACATTGAAATAAAATAAATTTAATTTTTGTAGTTTAATGAGTTTCATTCTTTCATTCATTTATTCATTCATTCAATCATTCATTCATTCATTCATTCATTCATTCATTCATTCTTTCGTTCGTTCGATCGTTCATTCATTCATTTATTCATCCATCCATCCATCCATCCATCCAACCATTCATTCATTCATTCATGCGTTCATTCTTCGTCATGATTTCATTGTTGGAAGTTCCATTCAAATGGAATATATATCTATAATCTATGACTACTTGTTAGCAGTAA